GAAGCAGTCTAAGAAGCAGACCTGTGAAGTTTAGGTACAAGTCAATGTTGAAATTAATGTGTAGAATAAAAACAGCGTAAGAGTATATTGTCATACTAAAGATGTCTTTTAAAGGCCAATCTATCAAAAACTGTAAAGGAACTTAGTATAGATATACAAATACTACACAAGTAGATTAGTGGTGTTAAAAGATGTGATATACGACAAAACGTCCTTACTTTCATAGGGGAAAGATTAGAGCCTGTTAGAACTAAACTCTTTATGGCTGGAGAATTTTATGATGTTATAATAATTACTTTGCTCAGTTTTCAAGCTAGAGTCGAACATTATTCTGAAGACAGCCATGTTAAACTAATCACGTTGACTGTTTTATATCAACTGAACTATTGTGATGACTGGCTTAAAAGTCCCAACATTATCTAGAGAGGGTATTTCAAGAGGTGATTTAGTCGATATCAACTGGTCAAATGTATGAAGAAACAGTGGGAACATAGTGAACAAATCGTCTCTCAAAAACTAGTTCAGAGTATGACTCACAGAAAATGGAATTTTCAACATGAATGCCATATTGCGTGCACGTGAGTGAAATAAACAGGTCAAAAATCTCTAGGATTTAGGTATAATCGTTCCTTATTTTTTACTGTTGATCAAAGGAAGGCACAACTAGCAACACAAGATGCCACAAAGGTTTTGTACGGCTTCTTTTAAACATAATAACGAGACTGGCTGTCACTTTTATAACGCTCACACAGCTGAAAACGTGGGGCACGTTTAGTGGCATCACGTCCCGAAATCTAGACTATTAGTCTGCAGCCCGACACGCTAATCAATAGGTAACGCTCGCTCCCTTTTACAGAAAGGCAACAGATATATAAATAAAGGGAGTATTAAAATACATTAAGATAATGATCACTATGATCCCAGTTTTTCTAAATAGATCTTTTGCTGATGTCAGAAAGCCACGTGGTCTATATTTTACTCTGCTATACTGGACGTCAAGTGGTTACATTCGTCTTAGATAAAAAATTATAAATTTTTCTTCTAATATCATGTTATGTGATGCAAGTCATCTCAGCGACGTATATAGAAAACTGAATAGCCTTCGACCGTTTGTTTCACAGTAACGTGACTTTCGTATCAATATCAGGCAAGTTTTAACATTGCCTATGTAGGTATGGCTCGGATTGTTCATCGAAATGGTATTTTAAATTTCTCCTCAGTAGGTCATCAGAACTTTACAATACTATACAGTGTTTCCTTTTATAACAACATCTATGTAATAACTGAATCACAAGTTCTGGGAATGTCTGTAAATATCATAGCAAAAAGTTTGAATTTCTTGTTCTTCTTTCGTCTGTTTCTTTTTTATTATAACTCGAAACCAAAACAACCAATTTCAAACGGAATATCCATACTACGCTTTTATAAGTAGTAGTAACTAGTAGTAATTTAAAAAATCATAGTTTTAGTATAAACGAGGTAATCATTACCTATTAAATTTAGCTTTCTTACAGATATTTGGTGTTTCTTTACAAAGATTGAGAACAGGATGAAACAGGAATTATCAGCCAATGATAGATAAACAATAAATATTACAGTTGGAACCTCATTATATTTAGAACTTGGTTAAAAATACAACCTTTCTATGTATATTGAAACATTGCATTAAAAAAATAAGCAAATAAGTAAAGAAAAATAAAAAAAGGAAGAAAATGTAAGGATGGTTAATATCAATCCTTCAAAAACAATGCAAACAAGATAGTAGGGATGGAATTTGCATTGTTTGCGTTGCTTTTGAAGGATTGATATTAGCTATCTCTACATTTACTTCCTTTTTGAAAAGTTTTTCTTTACTTGTAAACTGTTATTGATTACTATAGAGAATGTTTGATGTTTCATATGGCGGCGATAAATGAAGCAAAAAGTTTTGTGATGTTACATGCAAGACCTCCATAGGTAATGTCTGAATACATTTGGCGTGAAGCATATTCACATTCAAAAGTTACACTTATTAAATTATGCTACATTAACAAATTTTGTAATTTGATTACTCTTGTCAAGGAGAAATGACATTACACTTATTTAATAGTGAAAAAACAAAACAAAAAAAAACAATGAAAATAATTGTGTCGTATATCTATTATTTTCAAAGTATTACTTAATTCCCATTGAGGGGATAGAATCCAGAAACCTAATGTTATGAACTCTCAAGTTTACTTTTGATCCACCAGGCGGAAAAAATTTATTAAAATTGTCCTATACCGTTATACGTCCAATTTCTTGGGATTATTTTATTAAAGTTGGTTTGATTTTTTCCCTGCGAATTTAAATTTCTAATAAGAAATAATATATCAGTTATTCTCACACAAACCTTTGCTACAAGCACCCAAATTTCTTGCTCGGCTATTCTCCTCCCAACACACATCCTGGGGCCAAATCCAAATGGAATAAATACGAAAGGGTGGGCCTTGTTTTCGGCTTTTTCTTTGAGCCATCGCTCCGGTTTAAATTTTAGAGGTTCTGGGAAGTTTTCCTCCAATCGGCATGCCACCATATTTTGTGCCACAAGCAGAACCTATGGAAAGAGCTTAATAGTTGTAAACCATGACGAATTCTTAATTAGACTAGATCAAAACGTATCGAGCAGAATGATTTAGAAACTAAAATTAGTTCAAGCTCAGTATCAGGAACTATGAAGTGTTGTAATTATTATATTAAGAATATAATCTGGATGAAAAAGAAATGAAAAAACTACAGTAAAATAAACTCAAATACATCCCAGCGATTTCGGAAGGTAACTATTTATAATATCCAAGTCTGATTTTTAACTTTTATTGCATGTTTGCATCGGTGCATTGAAACTTTTTATATTCATGTATTTACATGATATTTAAGAAAACATATTAAACTGCAAATGTTTTAAATTCTATAAAGTGACAGCACATTTGGTTACTTTTCAAAAACAAAATAAATAACACTATATGACGTGATAAAAACATGCGTCTAAAACGTGATAATTTTTTTTTCTAATTCTTGATTTTAAGTACCACCGAAACCTTCAGTAATTATAGTTATATTTCAACTACAAATATATTACTGTGACTTGATTATAAGTAATACCAAAGAAAAGTGTTTTAAGTTTCAAAACTACAGCATATTTTGTTATTTTTCAGAACATATAATCATATAACGTGATAAAAATATACACCTTAAAATTTCTATAACATTTGGATATTAATGCAGTTACATATATCTAATACTGCTGTTGCTTGATCAGAAAAATGTATATGCTATTGATCTGCTACAAATTTTAAGAAACTAATTCCACAAACGACTTCATTTGGAAACAAACAAAATTTGGCTCACAAAACTCATCTTACCCCTGGGGGAACACTGTATCCTGACAGAACTACTTCATGATCCAGTATTCTTACTGTACCTAGTGCAATGGGATTCATCCTAATTCGAAAATATAAGAACTGTAAGTAATATTCATATTTAATATTTTTTAATTCAATGCACTAACTAAACGGTATTTAAGTATGAGATCAATCAATACCCTGAAAGATTTAACACAACATCGTCATTGTAAACATTAAGCTAATGACTGGTTTGTTTGTTGTTAAGCACAGAGAATCATTATGAATTATCTGTGATATGCCCACTGCGGGTTTCGAGACCCGAGTTTTAGCGTTATAAGCCCTCAAACTTGTCATGGAGCCATCAGGGGACAAAACTATTAAACACCTGCTTATGCACAAAATGTTCTGTCTTTGACATATATATAACTCAATATATATGTAAAACACTATAAATAAGAAAAGATGAGTGATGGATGGTTATAAGTAGTACATATATTTTGGTAAGATTAATTACGTAACATAATGAAGAACTATTTCAAGATTACAATCAAAAGCTGGACGTACTTCTCTTAAAGTTTCCTTGTTTGTTTGTAATTATGAACAAAGCTACACAATGGGCTATCTGTGCTCTGCCCACCACGGCTATTGAAACCCGGTTTCTAGCGTTGTAACTCCGCAGACATATCGCTGTACTACTAGGGGGATTCTCTTAAAGGCCAATGACTTTAACGTCAATGAAAAAAAAACTTACTAAAGAACATTCCATTATCACATAAAAAAGAAGGATATAAAATCTAGTTACCATTGTATTCAGTTTGATGCTTAGTTTCTTTGTTTCGGGTATTCGCGCATAGCTATATAAGGGCTATCTGCGCTAGCTGTTCCCAATTTTGAACTGGTAGGTCAGAGGTTAAGTCAGTTAGTCAACAGTAACCACCGCCATATCTTCGACTAGTGTAATTGCCGAAGAGTAGGATTTGACTGTCACTCTCATAACGTATTAGGTCGTCAAGAAATTAATGTCGCGTTTTGGAAAACTTTCATTAACTACCCCCTAAAAAACGTACATCACGTATAATAGTTAAACGAACTGCCTAAACGTCACGTTAGTGTAGCCTATATAATGTGTAAAGTTTAGTATACTCTAATCCCTAAAAGTGATAGCACACGACGAGACACACATTCGACATGTAATGCTATTTGAATACAAGAAGGGAAACAACGTCTCTGTAGCCACAAAGAATATCAAAGAAGCTTATGGAAATGTTTTGAGCGTTCGTAAGTATCAACGATAGTTCAGCAAATTTCGTTCAAGTGACTTTAGCCTTAAAACTGTGATGGCAGGGGCTGACATATTGGAATTGATGCTCTGAAGACGCTTGTTGAGTCTAACCCAAGGCAACACACTCATGAAATGACCCTCAAATTGCACGTCTCTCATGAAACAATACGTAAACATCTAAGGAATACGAAAAAACTCCATAAAGAAGGTGTTTGGGTGCCTCACGAACTCTCCGATAATCATCGTTTCCCAACGCGTGAACGTTACTTCGTCTCTTCTGGCGCGTGAACCCTTTTTGGAGATAATTGTCACTGATGATGAAAAATGGATTCTCTATACGAATATTTAACGCCAAAAACAATGGCTCAGTGCTAGTCAAAAACCACTTCCTACCCAAAAACCTGATGCTTTGTATTTGGTGGGACATCAAACGAGTAATTCATTTCTAACTCCTCAATCCGCAGGGAACTGTCAATGCAGAGATCTATAGTGAGCAACTAGAACCTTTAAATCAAGCCCTTCACTCGTCAATCGGAAAGATGTTCTTCTTCTCCACGACAATGCACATCCACATGTGGCACTTTGACGCAAAACAAGATTATGGAGTTGGGTTGGGAAGTTCTCTCCACCCACCATATTCTCCAGATATGGTACCATCGGATTACCATCTTTTTCGTTCACTGCAACATCCTTTTAATGGGAAACGTGTGCAAATGAAGAAGGTGTTAAAGAGGACATCGACATGTTTATTGCTATAAATCCAAGTGATTTCTTTAACCAGGGCATTAACAACCTGATGTAAGATGGAAAAGCATCATCGATGAGAATGGAGACTATTTCATTTAAATAATGTTTTGTATTGATATATAAGTTGTCAGGGTTTTTTCATCTAAAAAAAGCGGCATTAATTTCTTAACGACCTAATACATACGGTTCCAAAGAGCAATTATGTGACAACGGGACGTGAGTCATAGACATAGGTGCAGGGGGGATCATGGGAGCAATTGCCCCCCAAATTCTGACCAAAACAGTTTTTCAGGCAAAAATCGCCAAAATATTCGGGCAAAAGCTCCGTACATATCTATAACTTTTATATTTGCAAATTGGTTATGCCTTTTCAGAAAATATATGACACACTCGTGACATTTTCACTTGCATCTTTTTAACCCTTCAATGCCTTATGGTTCCGCGTGTAAGTCGTTCAAGCAACTTTAAATTTTATAGTACATCATTTTAAGGTCGATTTTATATTTTCTGGCAAAACTTGCTTGCCCCCCCCCCCCGGTCAAAACCAAGCCCCTACGCCTATGGTCATAGATCCTCGGATTCAAAGTCCGTTACGCTAAACACTAGTCCACGTGTGGCCCATGATGCTTAGAAAAGTATCATAAATTCGGTCCATTGTCATATGTACAAGCAAAATAATAGCGAATTATCGTAGAAAACAAACACAGCATTAAAGAAATGAGACATTGAATTATACAGATGAGTATGTTTCTTTCTTTCTTAGCATTATCGCTTTATTTTATTTCTCCGTTTTAAAATTATTTCTCATATGCTACGAAAAATAAAGCACACAGTTTTAATCATATTATGACAACTTTGGAATTTTTAAGTGAACGGTTTTTTTTCAGTAATTAAGACTTAATGAGAGTCTATGAGAAGATGAACAAGTCTGATTATTGAATCGTATTCTGGGAATGTCTAAGACACACACAAGTGACATGAGAAAAAATTATTCGAATATTCAGTAATATAACGTTATGTTAACATATATCCCGCGGTGAGATAACTGTAAGTCTATGGATTTACAACGCTAAAATCAGGGGCTCAATTCCTCCTCGGTGGATATAGCAGATAGCCTGATGTAGCTTTGCTATAAAATCACGGTGGCTCGACGGTAAGTCCGAGAGCTAAAAATTGGGTATCTCTTCCTATGGTGGAGCAGAGTACAGCTAGACAATTGTGTGCTTAATAAAGACAGAAAAAAATATATAACTTACACATATTCGATATTAAACATGGAAATGCACCGCAATGTGAGAAGTGAGCTCGTTTGTTTTGAAGTTAAGTCCAAAGCTACACAATGGGCTATTTGTACTCTGCCCACCACAGCTATCGAAACCCGGTTTCTAGCGTTGTAAGTCCGCAGACATAAAATTATTCCATTAACACTTTCAAAAAGCATTCAGGAGTTATTGTGTACAAAAATTAAATTAAAACTGCTTATTACCGAGCCATATTTTTATTTTACACGATATGTTTAATAACACAAACCAACAATAAACTAAAACAAGTTTTGCCAAAGTTCAGGAAGCAGTAATATTCAGCACCCATTACAACACCCAGTTATCAACAGCTGAATTCTTACATTTATCTGTAATAACGAACGCTATTACTTTTCCCAATGGAAGTGAAACTGCAGAGTAATATAAGTGTACGAAAATGTTTTGTGGATGAATATTGAGGACAGCTAGTATTTTAACGTCCCTCGGGTTTCAGTTTCCTGACTTTGTGACTTCAATATAGTGACAGCGGTAAGTCTGAAGGCTCACAACGCTTAAAACCGGGCCTCGATACCCGTGGTGGGCACAACGCAGATAGCCCATTGTGTAGCTTTGTGCTCAACTACAAAGGAAAATCAAAATAGTGATATTACATAAAGGATTAAGTGCAAGAACGACTTGCATATACTAACGCAGTGGCTGTCACATTAAATGCGACCGTGATGAAACAGGTGACATATATTGCACTGAAATATAAACGTTTGAGTACTTATGTTAAAACAATTTTGAATAAGCAAATCACGTGATACCTACAGCAGATATAAAACCGTGGTGGAACAGAATGTATCAAAACTAAATTTTGATATTATTTGGAGTTTTGTACGTAGTGATGTCACCGAAACTTGATCGCTTTAAGGAATGGTATGTATCTGCTGTTTATAGTACCATATATCCAGACTCTCCAATAAACAAAAGTTTGTTCATACAGGTATTAAGAATTTCAAGATAGGAAAATTTTGCACTACTAACATTAGAAAACAAAGGAATATGGATTAATCTGGGACACCAAGAACACCCAGAAAAAGCTCCGGGTTATTGTTAAGATGTACAGTCGTGTTGACACAGATTGTAACGCATGCTGTTGCTCCAAAATATTTTTAATATAGCATACTAATCCTCTGTATTTGATTCAAAATAAATTTCTGACCATTTTGTCCCCATGGTTAGGCTTATGTCATAGTTATTTTCATATAGTGTGACAGTTAAATGTTGTCAGTCCACGTAACATAGTATTTCAAAGAAGTTTCTGCGTTTTATTAACGCAACAAAAAGGTATAAATAAAAAAAAACACACATCCCAAGGCAACCTGGAACCAGTCTTTTTATCTGTAAAGGGAAGTTCGAACCTAAAAAAACACTGCCTTCATACCTAAGCCCGGCGTATCTCCTTGTGATCAATAAAGAGTTGAAGTTAACAAAAAGTTACAAGCATCCATCCATATCTAGAAATTAATGACTATTTTTATAAGAAACATGACAAAAAATGGTAATCTGCTCTAGCTGTCCTTAATTTTGAAATGATAGACTAGAAGAAATGCAGCTAGTCACTACCACTCACCACCAACTCTCTATCACCGAATAGTGGGATTGTAATCACATTATAATGCCTCTATAACTGAAAGGGGTGAGCATGTTCTGCGACAAGTTTTGAACCCAGGACTCGCAAATTGCTAGTCAAACACCCTAACCACCTAGCCACGCCAGGCCCCCTATTAGTGATTCTGTCAGTTAATCAAGAAACGTTGACTACGATTTACCTTAACCGTTTTCTTTTTTCACAGAATGTTTGTATAACAGCAATTATGGTGCATGGTAACAGTCCATGATCATGACCATAGAGAGTGAGCATTTATAAGTTGTCTTTATCTCTGAAATTAGATTAGTTTTATATTATCTACTTATTAATTATGCCACGCCGGCTCTGTTATATGTCTAACATTGTGCAGTAGTCTATAAGCATATGGTGTGATAGCTAAAATCAAATAAACAATTTTCATAATGAGTCTTGGTGTGTAAATTTTTTGTTGCATCTGTTTCTACTGGGAGTTTATTCTAATAATGTTGGATTTATTTTACCTCCTCACCTCCACAGAGAAGTGTTAATGAGTCTCATCTTATTAAATGTATAAGTGGAGAAAGAGGTTTCTACTTGAAATTATTACATTCAAGTTGAGTAAATCTACAATGCTCTCGTTTCCATGGCAAGAGTTTGGGTGTGGGGAAAGTTTGAAATGATTACAAGAACTTTATCAGAATAAGCTATGCACTTAGAACTAAACTAAAAATCAAACTGGCAATATAGATAGCTAAATAAATACATATTTTTACTTATAAAGACTAGAATGCATTAACTATATTTTCGGCTGTAATCGCAATAATATCTTATGTGATTCAGCAAGCTTAGGAGATTTAGGTTAGTCTGAAATGCATATATTAGGAAAACAGTGTAAAGCAATCTTTATAATAAAATTATAACGTTAAATAATAAACCAGAATGAAAAGTATTGACACTGGATATACGAAATAGTATAGCCAATACTGTTATGGAAATTAACAATAAATAATATACCTTACCTAAAGAACATGGAATACCTATATTCAAGCTAACGGTGTAAAACAATTTTTATAATAAAAGTATAACGATAAACAATAAACCAAAATAAAAAGTAACGACACTGGATATTCAGTTGTAGTGTAAATTAATTAAAAAATAAATAAAATACGTCACCTAAGAAACATAGAAACATTAACCGTCTGCTTGGACTACTGTTGTAGAAAACAAAACAAAATGGTAAAACATTTACCTTATGCTTTCTTTAACACACGCCTTTAGGTAATGGAGCTGATCTAGTTCTGAAACTGACAATCTCTTGCTAGCATAAGGTAAGACTGATTTAACTTCTTGATAAGCTCGTTCCTGAATATCTGGGTTTTTAGCCAGATGGTAAAGAATAAAGGCCATAGAATAAGACGTCTGGAAATATAAAAATAATGGGTAAATCATCATAAACTCAACCATACCTATGAAACATTAATTATAGCTTTATACCTGACACAATACAAAATAAATAAAAGAATCGTCACTTTAGATAAGCATTTTAGATGTTTAAAAAAGGATTATAGAAAATAAAACTACTACAAAATGTAAAATATTGTTGCAGGCTATGTTCTGATTTACATTTTGTGATCACTGGAAATTAGATTTTTTAGTATTACATAATGATAATGTGACATTTCGATGCTTTGTGTGAAATATGAAGAAAACTAGACTGTATAAAAACACCAGAGTGTGTGAATTAGTTGGTTAATTATTTTAGTTAGCAGCATATTAATCAGTCAGTCAGCTTTAAGTTGAGTCGTAGGAACAAGAGCAAAATATTTAAAGTAACTTATTATTGTAATTTTATTTCATTGGGCAGCTTAACGTGGTGAAAATAATTCGAATTCTATTCCATGTAATGATAACAAATTAGCTAATTTCTTCCTTAACGTTTCTACAGTTCAATCGTATTCTTTTATAGTTTGTATGCCTAAGGTTATAAATGACGGTCAAATAGAAATATCATGCCAATTGTACTACGATTAACAAAACAATCAAGTAACTGAATATGTGGGATAACTAATATTGATTCAAATACTTCACTGAAATTAAATCTTCACTAAATGACTGGGTCTATACAAATTGAAAAAATAACGACACTGATTCAGTGTTTCACTGAATCTCGTATTTATAACCTACTCTCATCTCTTGATAATCCCTCAATTAACTAGATTCTTTGTATCAAGTTTAGAATTTTCCAAGTATTCTAGGTCTACTTTAACGTCATGTGCCCTCTAGTTAAAGACTAAATTGAAAGTTGAAAAAATACCTTACAGCACTCCGCCCCTTCCTGGATTCTGAAGTCCCTTAAACAATCCTAATACAATAACAAAACACTACACTAAACTGCCCATTCAACAAGTCCTTTTGATGGTTTTCTCTTCTGAGGCCCCTAGTATACAGCTGGAATGACTTCTTCTCCCTTTTTGTCACTTGCTGTCTTGTCGCTGAAGAAGTTCTTCTAAGGCAGTGGTTCTCAAACTTTATACAGTCTGAGCGCATTTACAATACTACAGATACTTGCTGGCGCACTGTATACAAAATAGGACTAATATGTTATAATTAAGTTAAATATATAGAAAAATAACGCATTTAATAAAAGCAAACTTAACATACCTCTATGAAGTTTATTCATTCCTGTGTTAATGAGAAACATGAGCTTGATGAGACCTTGCGATTTCTTCAATGTTTGGTCTTATGTTTGAGAGACAAACTCTCATTTCCTCATCAATGCGTTGCAGAGTTCCTCTCTTTTTATACTTAATTGTGGCGAGGGTTGAAAATCCCAGTTCACATAAATATGAGGTGGAAAATTTCAATAAAATGGCCAGCGCTTTTTTAGATATCGACACATGTTCTTCTTTGATAGAAATCCAAAAAGCTTCAAGAGACAATTCTTTGTATTTAATCATCAATCCACGATCAGTGGACACAGCTGCCAGTTCTTCTTTTTCTGTTAGCGTTAAACTAGAATATATTGCAGTTTCTACAAAAGGGTTTCTAATTCAGTCATATTGCGCAGTGTTAATTGATGGAAGATAATAACTCAAATTTTCTTCTAAAATTGATAAATGTTCAACTATCATTGGCAGAATTTCAGTTTTGCAATTATTACTTACCAATGGAAACATTTCGAGACTGCCTTCCATCGCTGTTCTTTTCCAAATCTGTAGCTTTCTCTGAAACGCTTTTATTTTGTCAGTGGATGTGAGGATATTTTCCTCTTTCCCTTGCATGCTAGAGTTCAAAATATTGAGATGCTGAAAAATAGA